GTTCAAAGCACCAATGTATCTTTAGCAACGGGAAGCTGGCAAGGGTAAGGTGACTGGTCTGGGTAGGGGCAGTGAGGGAAAAGAAGGGCGAAGATGCTGAAAAGGACAGAGAAAAAGAAAAGGGAAGGAAAAAGACAAAGGACGAGAACCCACATCAAGCTTTTGACTGGACAGATCGTCACATCTGTGTGCTGCGTCCGCTGGCCGACTCGCGGGAAGGGGTGGCTTATCCCTGAGGCCTTTCTGCTGCAGCCACTTTGCAGCGTCATCAGAGGGTATAAATCTTCCTTGGTTTCAGAACATTCGTGAAACAAGGATGATACACATAGTGAAGGGTATGGTGGTGAGGATGGTGATTGCAATGGAGAGGGGGAAACATAGGGGGAGAGAGATTAGCCATTTGGTCGAGCTGTAGGAGCGTAGGGGGGATGAAGGGGGAGGAGGAGGAGGCGGGAAAGGATTCTGTGACTTCGCCGTCTGGAGGCTGCTGGCTGCTTGTTCTCTGCTTGCTGTGGTGCCGTGCTCCAGCAGTAGTGCCGCGATGAAGAGGATAAAGGCAAGACCGGCTAGGAATGCTAGATATGCCAGAAAGCAGCAAATCGCTGTTTCTGTCTTTTTGCCGCTGCCCGCCATGGCTTGCTAGTGCTGCTCGACTAACACGATAGCTGCAGCTGTGATGGCGCAAAAGAAGGTGGCTGCTGCTGCAGAAGCTGCGCTAATATAGGCGAATGCTGCGCAAAGAAGCGCTGCTTGCTGGCGAGAGGGCGCAAGAAGTGCCTGCTCCGTGGTGAGTGCGCCAATCAGGGATCTAGCCAGCATAAGGTTGGGAAGTACCGCGAGCCAGAGCAAGGCCAATAGCGCTGTTATAAGCGAGCTGGCGAGGGCGGGAGAGAAAGCTATAGGACACCGTAGCGCATCGTCCATGCTTGCTGGTGGTGCGCTAGGAGTCGCATCTTTGCAGGTAAGAAAGTTGGGGGCGAGCGCTAGTGCGAAGACGGGAAAGATAGCTTAGCGGGATGGGACGAGGACTTGATAGGAAGGGATCGGGTTCTCGAGGGATGCGAGGCGCTGCACTGCTGCTGCTGGAGGCCGCTCAATCTTTGCCCGGTAATTCCGTGATGCGTGGATCAAGGAGTTGCGGCTCAGAAGAATACCGTCTCTTGATCGTGCACTTCCCTCCGGGCCGCAAGCGCATCGAGGTCCAAGGGGAAGTCCATGCCGGCCGCTGCGTTCGTTCACAGAAGAGTGCATCAAAAAAAGTCCTCCGAGAATGCCGGCGGATTGTCGCGTCTGCTTCGATGATGATGCTTGGTCTCTATTAGTTCCTACCTAAATACTACGCCTCCTTACTATTCAGGTTTACTACCTCTGATTACACCTGAAAAGACAGCCCCCTTTATTTTTCAAAAATTGGCGCCTAGTTGCTATCTGCACAGGATAACATCGACGCCCAACTAGCCTGTCGACCTCGTGTTACTTCCGGTGTGTGTGTGTGTGTGCCTGGCCAAGCACCTTTTCATTTCTGGCCTAGGCAGGGTTTCGATCCTCGTGTTTCTCTTCCCCGGGGGCGTCCCCTTGAAATAGGAAGGGCCCGGTCATGGAACCAAACGCCTACGCAACGGAGGGGGAAAGGGAAAGGGGGGAAGGGGCGGGTGGTGGGCTAGATGTGCCGATGCCGTCCGAAAGAGGAAAACAGGACAAAATACAAAAAGGAAAACAAGAAAACAACGCAAAGGGAAAGGAACATGGCCGAAGGAACAGGAAACGGGGGAGAAAAACTTTGACAAACTGTCCTATTAGCGATCTGACGGGTCTACTGACATGGGCAAGGGATAAAAAACGGGGGTAAGGCCGTAGTGGGAGACGGTATCACACGAGGCCATGACGCGACTCCGAAGTCTTGATCTGTTCACTTGCTACTGCGGCTGAGTGGCTGCGCCTGTGGTCCTGGGTTGCTGTCGCTCCTGTCGGTCCTTGGGCTCCTAGTTCAACTGGTTCCAACCGCCTCCTGCCGCTCTTCTTCTGTCTCTAATCCTGTGAGCGAGTGTGTGTGTGTGTGTGTGTGTGTGTGTGTGTGTGTGTGTGTGTGTGTGTGTGTGTGTGCGTGTGTGTGTGTGCCCCACCCGTTTCCCTCCGAGGGGGTTGGCCAGCCAAGAAGTATTGGTGCCCGAGGGGACCAGCTTCCCAGCTGGCTCGCCCCCTCGGTCACCACACACATACGCACGCACACACACATGGTCACTACACATACATCAGTACTCAGTTAGTTCACGCCAAATCTAATTTTGATCGCTTCCTTCACTCTGCGTTGTTTTCTTGTTTTCCACTACGGCCTTACCCCCCTTTGTTATCCCTTGCCCCGTGTGATACAGTCTCCCACTACAACAGATCACTTCACGTGTCAGGCCTTCGAACGGGGGTGGAAGAATTTGGCCCGTTATTCACGAAGGGTTGCATATGTGCCGTAACCAAGCACGGTCATTAGGTTCATATGTATTGAAAAATTGAAGCAATAAGCAAAAAAATGAAAAAAACAACAAAAAAGCACGGCTAACTATTTCAATCGAAAAAGCTTTACACAAAGAGACGAAGCATTTACAAAAAAAACAGCGAAAAAAACTTGATCAAGTAAACGAAGCAGTTATTTATAAAGCCAATTGTTCAAAGCACCAATGTATCTTTAGCAACGGGCAGCTGGTAAGGGTAAGGTGATTGGTCTGGGTAGGGGCAGTGAGGGAAAAGAAGGGCGAAGACGCCGAAAAGGACAGAGAAAAAGAAAAGGACGAGAACCCGCATCAAGATTTTGACTGGACAGATCGTCGTATCTGTGCGCTGCGTCCGCTGGCCGACTCGGAGGAGGGGGTGGCTTATCCCTGAGGCCTTTCTGCTTCAGCCACTTTGCATCGTCATCAGAGGGTATCAATCTTCCTTGGTTTCAGAACATTCGTGAAACAAGGATGATACACAGACTGAAGGGGATGGCGGTGAGGATGGTGATTGCAATGGAGAGGGGGAAAGATAGGGGGAGAGAGATTAGCCGTTTGGTCCAGCGGTAGGACCGTAGGGGGGATGGAGGGGGAGGAGGAGGAGGCGGGAGAGGATTCTGTGACTTCGCCGTCAGGAGGCTGCTGGCTGCTTGTTCTCTGCTTGCCGTGGTGCCGTGCTCGAGCGATAGTGCCGCGATGAAGAGGATAAAGGCGGCTAGGAATGCTAGATATGCCAGAAAGCAGCAAACCGTTGTTTCCGTCTTTTCCCCGCTGCCCGCCATGGCTTGCTAGTGCTGCTCGGCTAACACGATAGTTGTTGCTGTGATGGCGCAAAAGAAGGTGGCTGCTGCTGCAGAAGTTGCGCTAATATAGGCGAATGCTGCGCAAGAAGTGCCTGCTCCGTGGTGAGTGCTCCAATGAGGGATCTAGACAGCATAAGGTTGGGAAGCGCCGCGAGGCAGAACAAGGCCAGTAGCGCTGTTATAAGCAAGCTGGCGAGGGCGGGAGAGAAAGTTATAGGACACCGTGGCGCATCATCCATGCTTGCTGGTGGTGCTCTAGGAGTCACATATGTGCAGGTAAGAAAGCTGGGGGTGAGCGCTAGTGCGAAGACGGGAAAGATAGCTTAGCGAGATGGGACGAGGACGTGATAGGAAGGGATCAGGTTCTCGAGGGATGCGAGGTGCTGCACTGCTGCTGCTGGAGGCTGCTCAATCTTTGTCCGGTACTCCCGTGATGCGTGGATCAAGGAGCTGCGACTCAGAAGAATACTGTCTCTTAATCGTAAACTTGACTCCGGGCCGCAAGCGCATCGAGGTCCAAGGGGAAGTCCATGCCGACCGCTGCGTTCGTTCACAGAAGAGTGCGTCAAAAAAAGTCCTCCGAGAATGCCGGCAAATTGTCGCGTCTGCTTCGATGATGATGCTTGGTCTCTTTTAGTTCCTACCTAAATACTTCGCCTCCTTACTATTCGACTTTACTACCTCTGACTACAACTGAAAAGACGGCCCACTTTATTTTTCAAAAATTGGCGCCTAGTTGCTATCTGCACAGGATATCATCGATGCCCAACTAACCTGTCGACCTCGTGTTACTTCCGGGCTGTGTGTGTGTGTGTGTGTGCCTGGCCAAGCACCTTTCCATTTCTGGCCTAGGCAGGGTTTCGATCCTCGTGTTTCTCTTCCCCGGGGGGGTCCCCTTGAAATAGGAAGGGCCCGGTCATGGAACCAAACGCCTATGCAACGGAGGGGGAAAGGGAAAGGGGGGAGGGGGCGGGTGGTGGGCTAGATGTGCCGATGCCGTCAGAAAGAGGAAAACAAGACAAAATACAAAAAGGAAAACAAGAAAACAGCGCAAAGGGAAAGGAACAGTAAACGGGGGAGAAAAACTTTGACGAACTGTCCTATTAGCGATCAGACGGGTCTACTGACATGGGCAAGGGATAAAAAAGGGGGGTAAGGCCGAAGTGGGAGACGGTATCACACGGGGCCGTGACGCGACTCCGAAGTCAGGATCTGTTCCCTTGCTGCTGCGGCTGAGTTGCTGTGCCTGTGGTCCTGGGTTGCTGTCGCTCCTGTTGGTCCTTGGGCTCCTAGTTCTGCTGGTTCCAACCGCCTCTTGCCGCTGTTCTTCTGTCTCTAATCATGTGAGCATGTGTGTGTGTATGTGTGTGTGTGTGTGTGTGTGTGTGCCCCACCCCCTTCCCTCCGAGGGGGTTGGCCAGGCTGGAAGTACTGGTACCAGAGGGGACCAGCTTCCCAGCTGGCTCGCCCCCTCGGTCACCACACACACACTCGCGCACACACACATGGTGACTACACATACATCAGCTCTAAGTTAGTTCACGCCAAATCTAATTTTGATCGCTTCCTTCACTCTGCCACTTGGGGTCCTGCCTGGTTGATACCTGCCCGGGTGCGCAAGAACCTTCTTCACCACTGCCCAGCACCTCCCTTCATCAAACCCATTGTCAGCCATGATCGAGACCACTTTGAAGAGTTCATCAGCCGCGTCTAGCGGATCAGTGCAGAGGACAAGTATGAGCGCAGCCTAAGCCGTGATGATCTGGAACGACTGGGTCACGCTCCTGTTTGATTTTTAACGCATGAATCGGATAGGTTGAATTCCAAGTCCTACAGTCTTGTCATGCTTCGTGGTAGAGAACGTGCCCTCTTCCTCGGAGTTCACGGAGATGGTCATGTTTAGGAAGTTGGCAATCCTCCCTTGCTCGCCGTCTGTTACCACGGTGTTCTCCACTACCTCGATGAACTGCAAAGGATAGATGGGCTGCACTCCGCCCGTTACGCCCTCCCCTTGATCTCTAGCTTGCATGCATTTCGCAATGATGGTGTTGTTGAGAGCAACCACATCGTCGACGTACCTGAAGGTGTCCCTGAAGCATTGCACCAGTTCGAATAGCTGCCTGGATACCATCCCCATTATTGCTGCGAACTCGTATTTAAAGAAGTAAAGGTCTTACCAAATCGGTGAGCAAGCTCGGCCCATGGGAATTCCTAGTACTTGCCTCCACGCATATGCACCCAGTTGAACCGAGTTGTTAGTCAGACACTATTCTGATACCCACACGATGTCATCTTCATCGAACATGATGGACCCGTCCTCCGCTGCTGTCCAGGGGTCCGTCCATGACGGAAACATCTTTCCTTTGCCGGTTATTCGCACTCTGATTGAGTCACTGGTGCTCCTGTCCCTCCTATGATCCATTGCACACTGCACAAAGAACTTCACCGCCGTAAGCAGGTTCTGTTCCGATCCGTCGGTTGGGATGGTCTCGAAACACCTTGTGATGTCTGCAGTGTACACTGAGAAGACTCTCTCTGGCAGGTTCGCAGCAAACTCGCCCACTGATGCTACAGGCCACCAAAGGTTGGGTCTGACGCCATGCTGCTGCTCGATCTGCTCAGCCAGTTGGCTGCAGCACGCCTGTATGTTGGGGACCAGGAATCGCAGAAGGCACGCGCAAATGTCTGCCATGGGTGAGAGGACAGTGCCAGCTGTATTGGTGATCCATCGAAAAGTACCCTTGTGTGCTTTATAGACCGTCATCAGGTACGAGAGCGCCTGCTTTAATTCAGGGAGGGGGTTCATGCATCGCAACTCATCCTTGAGTCTCCCCACCACGGAGTAGGGGAGTTCGTCTGTTCGTACGAAATGTGGTCCCGAAAGTCTCTGCAGTGCCAGTGCTCGTATGAAGTTAACGAAGACGAACGCCGGAGTGCTGGCCGCCTTGTCCGTTGGTGCAATCAGGAATTTGTCCGTAAGTGCATCGATCTCGCCACTCACTTGCTTGCTGCCAAATGGTTCTGCTGTTACGTGCCTGCGGTTGCCTAGGAACGTCCTCATTCTCTGCTTCGCCTTCTCCCTGACCAACCATCTGATCTTCCTCTTCTGCCGGTCATGCAGGTCCGCAATTTCTTCATGCTTTTCGAACAGCCTATCCAGCAGTGCATCAACCTCCGTTAGCGCTTCGTTTATGTCCATGGCCTTCATTGGGATGTTGTTTAATCCCCGTCCCATTATTGCTCTCAAGGTGCTGTTGGACGTGATTGTGGTGTCGAGTGTAATGACGTGGGGAGGGGAGGCGTCAGGTTTGAGCTGGAGCGTGTTGTTGCTACGAAATAGTGCATTCCTTCCTGCGTTGCAGTGACATTCCTCCTCCTTGTAGTTGTTTGATCACGTCATACGGTCTGCAGAGTTTGGCGGCGATGGCATCATTGTAGGTCCATCCAAACATGACGTCATCCAGCCAGCTCTCAGCGTCCTCTCCTACCACCCTCTCCAGCATTTCCTTGATCAGCTTTCGGATGTTGAATACCTCCATAATATGGCTGGAGTATCTCATATGCAGGCACATCGTTCTCTCCACCCGTTGTCTGACCCATTTCTTCCTTCCAGTCGGGAGTCGTACCATCTCCCCGGTGGTTATTGGCTCCACTCTCGGTTCCTGCTACACTTCACATGACGAGGTACACGGCCAAGTCTGTAAGTTGTGTAGAGGGCCCATTCATCCTGTATGCATATATATATATATATATGGAAACGTGATAGAGGAGGGAGAAAGGGAGAGAGAGAGAGAGAGAGAGAGAGAGAGAGAGGGAGGGAGAGAGAGAGAGAGAGAGAGAGAGAGAGAGAGAGAGAGAGAGAGAGAGAGAGAGAG